GCATGCAGGGTGGTTTTTGCGAGGCTGACCTTGGGGGTCGTATCCCGAGGTCGACATGGCTGGTGGACGCAGTCGCTGGCGTGGAGTCTGCCAGGCGTTTGTGCTTTGCTTGTGACGAGGAGTGACGCACCAACCAGCTGCGCGCACCTGCGAAGTAGGTGCACCGTTGTCCTGCGGGTGCAACGCTGTGCAGCTGACTTGCTGCAGCGTTGGCGCACCGCGGAATTGCAGTCGCTGGCAAGCCGCAAATTTGCTCTGCTGGAGCGTGGTCGACTAAGTCGTGCTGGTACACGATCGACTGTGCTGCGCTGGCAGTCGACCAGCAGCTTTGCTAGGTCTGATGTAACCCTAGCAAAGCTGGCATGGGGTGTTCACCGGTCGAGGAGATGCAGGCCGAGAAGGAGGGTGCCAAATCACTAGTTGCCAAACCTAGCAACCCAATCGTTGACTCCCACGTCGACGACCGTCTGTGTTGCCAATGTTGTTCCAATCATTGTTGTGAACTTTTGCTAGTGAAACCCTTGCCAACTTTCCCAGTGAACCAGCAAGTAGTGCAAGCACAAGCAAACGATCAAGGAACGAACGCAGAGATCACCCTCCTTCTTGGCCTGCATCTCCTCGACCGGTGAACACAGAGGGCGGCGTCGACGTGGGAGTCAACGTCGGTGGTGACCAAGTCGGCAGCAGTGTGGGAGGCACGTCGAGGCAGCGTGGTGTGATTCACGCCAATGAATTCGGCCGCATTCAGGCGCAAGGGGTGCGGTCGTCGGCGTCTGCACGCTCCTCGCAGGGCGACGTCGGCGGACGTCAAAGTGGTTTGACGCCAATGTCGGCGACTCATGTGACTGCGGGCGGGATAGCACCGAGCTACAACTACTCAAGTTTACGCCGGACAAGATCTTGGTCACCCCTTTGCTCGTTGGTCGACCGGACATTCTCACCTCGAAGGAAGCCATTGAGCCCCAGCTGGAGATGGCCGGGCTGATCGGCTTCGCCCGAGGTATCGTGGCGACGCCGGAGGAGATCTACCCCGACCTATGTGCGGAGTTTCGCGCTGTGCAGTTGCTGACCTTCACGGTCATCTCGAGGTGGTGCTCGCCAGGCGTGTAGATCGCCTTGAAGTCGTCCAGAGAGTACCTCGACACCGGCCACCGGCCGTGGCACTTTATCGAGTCGACGTACCAAGTCACCGACGCCTTGTTCATCACCCAGCTTGAGGGGCAGCTGACACACTTGCGTATGGGCAACCAGGAGACGGCGACCGACTAGTGCAACCGAGCTCAGCAAATTCTCGCCACCATAAGGATGGCCGGCGCGCAATACTCGACGGCTTTGTACATCACGCACGTCAAGCAGGGACTTCCGAGCAGCTACAACCTACTGAAGCGGCTGTCGATGGCGCCGAGCACGTGTGCGACGCTTAACGAGGACACCTTGACCTCGTACATCCTGCAGGACGAGGTTATGCAGGAGGCTGAGCGGTCCTAGGAGCTCTTGGTGGAGGTGAACTACGTCGCCCAGGCGAAGCAAGGTGGTCGACCGGGGCAGCGTGGGTAGTCTGGCGGCGGTGGTAATAGCGGGTGGAAACCAACCAAGGACGCTGACAATAAGAAATCGGCCAAGGACAGCGGTCGAGGAGGAGGAAGTCGACGTCGGGAGTGCTGGATGTGCGGCGACCCCAACCACCTCTCCTTTGACCCGACTGCAGTGACTCCGACGACGACGACGCCAAGGGAGGCCGCAGGAGGTCTGGCAGCCGTCGTCTCGTCGAGGAGGAAACAAGCCGCGCAAGGAGAAGTAGTCGACAAAGCCGGTTTTGGCGAAGGACGCCGACTCCTCTGCTGGCAGCAAAGGGTGAGACGACAAGGAGGTGTCGTGCTCGCTGGTCAGCGTGGTGGAGCCGACCGTCTTGTTGGCGCTGGAGGCCGGTGAGGACTTCCAGGCGATGGTGGCAGCTGTGTAGGTGAACCCGTCGGTGGTCCAGCTCGACAGCGGCTGCTCCCACCACCTAATGGGAACGAAGGAGCTCTTCGTCGACCTGCAGCCGAGTGGCGACGTCAAGCACATGCGCGGCTTCAATGGGGCGCTGCAAGACGTCCAGGGCGGCGGCATGGTCGCTCTGCAAGGGGAGGCCAGGAAGCAGGTGCTCATCCCCGACGTGCTCTATGTCCCGGGCGTGTGGGCGAACCTGCTTTCCGCCGGCCAGCTGAAGGAGAACGGTGTGAAGCTGCAGGAGGACGGCGATGGGATGCTGCTCGTCTCGGCGGCGGGTGACGTCCTCGGTCGGGCGTCCTACACCGGTCGAGTCCTCTGCACCGACCTGCGTCCCTGCTGGATGAAGTCGACAACGCCCGGGATGGAGGTGGTGGCCTTGCGGGCGATAGTCTCGACGACGAAGTCAACGACGGACAGACTGCATGCAAGGCTTGTACACGTCGGCACGGATACCATCCTGAGCTCGGCGAAGCACGATGTCTCCACTGGGCTGGACCTCAAGTGGGCGTCTGGCGTCGATTCACCTTGCGTCTCGTGCATCGGTGGGAAGCTGGCGTGGCACGCCTTTCCTGACTAGGGCTTCGACGGCGACGACGTGCTGGCTGTCATGCACATTTCGGGTGGCTGCCAAGGACGGCAGCCTGTACTTCTTGCTACTGAAGGACCGCAAGACCCGCTACATGTGGGTGAGGCCGGTCGCCAAGAAGTCGGATGTGCTGCAGGAGTTCGTGCAGCGGCTGGCGGTGGCTGAGCAACAGACGAAGAAGTCGGTGCTGATGCTGCGCTCTGACCGGGGAGGGGAGTTCCTCGCGAAGAAGTTCACCGACTTCGTGGATGGCAAGGGGATCATCCACGACCTGACCTGCCCATACACATCGCAACAGAATGGCATGGCGGAGCAGGAGATGAAGACGGTGGTGGAGGCGGTGCAAACGATGCTGCTACACATGGGCGTGCAGCACCACTAATGGCACCTCACTCTGCGGCAGGCCGTCTGGGTCCGCAACTGCCTTGAGCGGCCGGCACTACCGCCGGGGACGACGCCGTACCAGCTGCTCACCGGGAAGAAGCCCGACTTGTCGCTGGCCCGGGTGTGGGGTTGCATGGCGCAGTTCTTGATCCCCGAGCAGCAGCGTTGTGGGAATCTGAAGCCCAAGGCCAAGTAGGGCCTTCACCTCGGTATGTCAGAGGAGAGCAAGGGTTGGGAGCTCCTCAAAATCGCCGACAACCGGGTGGTCACCACGTCTGACGTGGTATTCTACAAGGACAGGTCGCTTGAGGTGTGGAAGTCGCCCCACGGGCCGACGTCGGGACGAACGCCAACCACCCTACCGACCGACATCTCGACGGCAACGCTCCCTTTGATCGCCGAGGTCGGTGCGCCTATTGCTGAGGACGTCGAGGATCTCCCCTCTCCCTCCCCCCCCCTCTGTTCCTCCCACCCCTCCCCTTGTGGCCGACCTGCGTGGGCTGCCTTCGATGTCGGCCCCCGGCGATGAGGGGAGAAGTGGGACATCGCCTTCGGCACCGGCCCAGAGCATCGCCGGTTGCCAATGTGTTGAGCAGCAAGTCAACGTGGGAGGGAAGTGGACATTGATAGTGGAGGAGCAGGTCGAGGAGGTACAGCCAATTTGGGTGAAGCCGGCAAAGAAAGCACCAGCAGGGCAGCAACTAACTAGGGAGCAGGAAGCGGTGAAGCCAACCACGGAGCAGTCGGCAACCAAGCAGACGGCAGAGGAGCCAACCACAGGGAAGAAGTCGGCCGGGAAGTCGACCGAGCTGCAGCAGGACGGCGAGGGCAGCGAAGCCGGTGACGAAGAAGAGGACATCGAGGAGTCCACCGACTGCGACATGGTGGAGGTCCAGACAGTCAGGCCGAATTCGGAGGCCACCCAACTTCTTCGTCCCGGCTGCCTTCACCACAGTGTACGATGTGGTGGACGATGATAACCCGCTGTACGACGACACTGAGGAGGATGAGGAGTTTCCGGAGCTCAACCCCGACATGCATGCCGACCCCGAGCACCGTTGGGGTATCTTGACGATGACGGTGAAGGAGGCGCTGGCGAGCTGGAAGGTCGCGGCGGTGAAGGCCGCGATGGAACAGGAGATCCGCAGCCTCATTGGCATGGGGACCTGAGAGCTGGTCGAGCGTCCGCCGAGAGTGAACTTCATGAAGAACCGGTGGGTGCTGACGACGAAGTACCACATCGACGACACAGTCGAGCACGAGAAAGCAAGGCTGGTCGTGAAGGGCTTCACGAAGGTGTACGGCGCCGACTACGACGAGACGTTCGCGCCGGCGGGCAGCTACGTCACGCTGCGGAACTTCCTAAGCATCGTCGCCGTTTTCAACCTCAAACAGATGCAGCTCGACATGAAGAATGCCTTCCTGCAGAGTAAGCTCAACCGGGTGCTGTATATGAACCAGTCGGGCTATTGCAACGACGGAACCGACCGGGTGTGCAAGCTGTTGAAGAGCCTGTACGTGCTGGTCGGCGCCGGGTGGAAAAAGTGTCAAGAAAGTAACTTAGCTGGTAACCGGGTTTAACTAAGGGCCTAGGCTTAGAAGCATAGGCCAAGTGGGTATCGAGGGAGTGGTGCCAAGGAGGATTGGAGAATGGTTGGAAGTTCACTATAGCACACGAGTACATATAGCAACCTAACAAAGGTGAAAGAGGTGCACCACCACACAAGGGGATTACAGAACAGCTACACTATAGGCAGATTATACAAAATAGATATAAATCTATTGTCACACACCCCCTATCTGCCTGAAGTGCATAACCATGTGCAGTGCCCCCCTTGAAGGGGTACACCTGTAAAACCCCATTACAGGGCGTGGGAACACCAGCAAGGGGCCCCCTCTGAAGCTAACAAGCAGCAACCACCAAGCAGCATCTGAACCACCGCGGTGGAACAGGTGCCCGGCTGCGGTTGAACGCCCCGCAGCTGGTGCACGGTGTGCGAGGAGCACGGGTACGGGTAGCGGGTTCGGGTAGCAACTAGGTGCTGTACGGGACGGGCCGCACGGGGGTGACGAGCAGCACGAGACCGGGCAGCACAGACCGGGTGGGGCACGAACGGGTACGGACAGCACGGGTAGGGCACAAACGGGCAGAACGGGGCAGCACGGGCAGAACAGGGCAACATGGGCAGAACGGGGCAGGACACGGGCTGAATGGGGCAACTCGGGCAGAACGGGGCGGGACACGGGCTGAACGGGGCAACACGGGCAGAACAGGGCAGAACACGGGCTGAACGGGGCAGGACACGGGCTGGACAGGACAACACGGGCAGAACAGGGCAGAACACGGGCTGAACGGGGCAGGACACGGGCTGAACAAGGCAACACGGGCAGAACGGGGCAACACGGGCTGAACGGGGCAACACGGGCAGAACGGGGCAGGACACGGGCAGAACGGGGCAACATGGGCAGAACAGGGCAGAACACGGGCTGAACGGGGCAGGACACGGGCTGAACGAGGCAACACGGGCAGAACAGGGCAGAACACGGGCCGAACGGGGCAGGACACGGGCAGAACGGGGCAACACGGGGACAACGGGGCTGCACAGGAAGAACGGGGCATGACAAGGGCTGAACGGGGCAACACGAGCACAACAGGGCAGCACGGGCAGAACAAGCAGCACGGGCAGAAGAGGCAGCACGGGCAGAACGGGGGACACTGGGCGCGGGTAGAACACGGGCAGCAACGGGAGACACGGGTGGGCACGGGCAGTATGGCACAGGAACGGGCAGCAACACGGGCAGGATCACAGGCAGAATCATGGGCAAAATCACGGGCGACAACACGGGCAGAATCACGGGCAGAATCACGGTCAGGATCACGGGCAGAACACGGGCAAAATACAGGCAGCACACGGGTATGATCACGGGCACAATCACGGGCAGCAGTACGGGCAGAATCACGGGCAGAATCACGGGTGGACAGCAAGGCACGGGCAGCAAGGGATGAGAGGAGGAGGAGGCGGATGATGCTACAGTTGAACTCTCACCACCCACACCCCCTGAACCTCTCTCCCACAGCAGTAGTAGCGGCAGAGAGAACAAGGAAGAGGTGTGGAGGCAGTGGATGGGGGTGTAGTTCCACTCCCACACACCTTCATCCTCCCCCCACAGTAGCAGAGATGTGAGACTGAGAGGGAGAGGAGGAGGAGGCGGTTGAGGCCGCAGAATCCTTTTTGGGACCCCCTTACCCTCCCCCCAACAGCCCACCACCTCCGCCTCCACACCCGCTCCTTCCCCACTGGCCGCCACCCCCACCACCTCGAGCTAGCACGGTAGCAGTCGCAAGCGCGGCTGGAGCTGGCGGGAGCGTGGGTGGGGGCGGGGAAGGAGGAAGTTTTCGGGCGGGCGGCGGCGCGAGCGGTAGGCTGCAGGAACGGGCAGCACGCGGGCGATGGGTTGCATCAGCAGGTGACGTGGGATCGCCGGTACGCTGGCGGTCGTCGCTGGCATTCCGCCGCCACTCCCTTCCCCTTTGCCCTCTTCCCCCCCACAGCGATCCGCCGCCACTCCCTTCCCCGTTTCCCTCTTCCCCACATAGCGACCACCGCTGCACACGCAAACAGCCGCGACGGGGGGGGGGGGGGGGAGGGGGGGGGGGGGACGGGCATGGGGCGCAGGTAATGTGACAGGCTAAGGAGCGGCACCGGGCTACAGGGAGCCGGGTCGACGGGAAGCGGGGCGACGGGAAGCGGGGCGATGGGAAGCGGGGCGACGGGATCGAGGGGCCGCGAAGACCTTGTGGGACGCAAAACGGGGGGTATTCGGGGTGCGAAATAGGGGGCCTTCGGGGCGCAAAACGAGGAACTGCGGGGGTCCGAGCGACGGCAAGCAACGGGGCGTACGCGCGACGTGCGACGGGTGACGAATTACGGGTTGGTGGGCCCAAAAAATTGTACAGGCTAGGAACTTGCTAGCTCAATACCATGTCAAGAAAGTAACTTAGCTGGTAACTGGGTTTAACTAAGGGCATAGGCTTAGAAGCCTAAGCCAAGTGGGTATCGAGGGAGTTGTGCCAAGGAGGATTGGAGAATAGTTGGAGGTTCACTATAGCACACGAGTACATATAGCAACTAAACAAAGGTGAAAGAGGTGCACCACCACACAAGGGAATTACGCAGCAGCTACACTACAGGCAGATTATACTAAATAGATATAAATATATTGTGACAAAAATAGCAGGTCGACGAGGCTCTGTACTTCAATGTCGGCAAGGACAAGATGGCCTGCTAGGTGCTGGTCTACGTCGACGGCCTGCTCGCCGCCAGTAGCAGTGCCGAGATGTGAAAGAAAGAACGAGAAAAATGAATCAACTATGGATGAAGTGAGTACAAATATGAAACCCTAATTGGGTTGTACCCCCTATGGGATACCCCACTATAGCCTACACAAATAAGTAAGCTATAATGTTCTGACACACCCCCATAGGCAAAGTGGGGGAGAACAAGGGGTCACAAGACCAGTCAAGCAAAGCAAAGCAAAGCTCAGGGTGGATCACAAAGTCACCACACATTCCGAGCACAAGTTCAAGGGCCACAAGGCCAGTTCACATGCAAGATCATATATAGAGATATACAAGAGTCAAACAAATTAAGAGCAAGAGTATATATAGGTCAAGGTACAAGCAAGGTCAAGAAGTGAGCAAGTGAGGCAAGACAGGCACAAGACCCAGCTGCGTGCAGCAACGCTGATGATCACAAGGCGCAAGTGCCTTGGTGAAGACATCAGCAGTGTTGGCCTCAGAGGCCACGTACGCAAGTCGCAACTGTCCACGCTGCTGTAGCTCACGAGCAAGAAAGTAGCGGAGAGCAATGTGCTTTGTCCTGTGCTCCAGTCGCTGCTCTCGACACAAGGCCAGCATGGCCTTGTTGTCTACGTACAGGACTGGAGGAGAACGAGGCGGCTCTCCAAGGTCGGTCAGCAGGTAGGTGAGCCAGCGAAGCTCCTGAGCAGCCATAGCCCCGGCGTAGATCTCAGCCTCACAACTTGAGCCGAGAACAGAAGACGAGCGGGTAGCCCGCCACGAAACAGAGCCGGAACCAAGGCTGAAGGTGTAACCCTGTGACGACCGCTGCGTAGCCTGGTCGTCAGCCCAAGAAGCGTCCGCGTGCCCAGTGAGGACCACTGGACTGCGCCCTCCAAGCAATAGCCCCATGCCCGACGTACTGCACAAGTAGCGCAACACCCTCTTCGCTGCAGCCATGTGCTCTGGTCGGTGTCTCCCAGGAGCAACATAGCGTGCGAGAATGCTAAGAGGGTATGCAAGGTCAGGTCGTGTGCAGGTCATCACGTACATGAGGCAGCCAACAAGCTCTGCATACGGGCCACTCGACTCTACGGACTCATCCGAAGGCAGAGCTGAGAGCGAGTGACGAGTAGGCAGAGGAGTGGCCTGAGGCGAGGAGTACGTGAAGCCGAAGCGCTGAAGAGCCTGCTGCACCATGTGTGACTGAGTCAGGGTAATGGTGCGGCGTGCTCTGTCCCGGGTGATCTGCAAGCCAAGGTAGCTGCGCAGTTCACCCAGGTCAGTGCACGTGTGTCTCTTCTGCAGCTCGGACTTCACGTGGGCGAGTCCAGCAGTGTCAGCTGTGGCAAAGACCAAGTCGTAGACGTACACGAGGATGTAGAACGGCGGCTGAGAGGTGTCGGTGCGCAGAAATAGCGACGGGTCGGCAGTAGAAGGAGCAAACCCAAGTGCCGCCAGCGTAGTCCTCAGTGTGTCGTGCCACTCACGTGGCGCCTAGCGAAGACCGTAGACTGGACGCCGGAGACTCCACTGGGTACCAGAAGGGATGACCCAGTGAAGCCAGGCGGGCGACGCAGCCAGATCTCCTCGTGCAAGCTGCCTCCATGACCATGCCAATGCGGCGCTCTGCAATCCCATTTTGCTGCGGTGAGTCTGGAAGCATGAAGGTCTGGCGGATGCCTCGCGCACGACAGAAGGCACGCAGAAGGCCAGAGGAGAACTCTCCGCCTCTGTCCGAGTGCAGACGCAACACAGGAAAGTCCGAGCCAAAGCTCTGCCTGAGCCGGAGACGAGCTGCGCGGATCCAGTCGATCAGCACCTCAGTGACATCACCCTTGCTGCGCAAGGGGAAGACTGTGGTGTAACGCGAGTAGTCGTCAACCACCAACAGGAAGTAGCGCTCGTGACCGAGTCCACGAACGCGGGCAGGGCCCCACACGTCCATGTGAAGCGTCTGCAACGGAGCCTCTGTCGGAGGAAACTGGGAGGAGTGAGGGGCAGTACGCTGGCGCCCCTCGACACAGGGGACACAGGCAGGGCCAGGGCCCTGAGGAAGGGGAGGGAGGGACCGGGGGAGACCAGACACAAGAAGACGGGAGGCCATGCCTCTGAGCCGAAGCAGAGAGGGGTGGCCAAGGCGGTGGTGCCAGAGGAGAGTCTCGTCAGACAGACGGCGACACGAACAGGGGGCAGACTCAGGACCAGACCTGGACGCTGCAGCAAACACCTGACCAGACGAAGGGACTCTACCAGACGAGGAGAAGCAGTGGTCAGTGTGTACAGGCTCAACCCTGGCTGACGTGTAAACGTAGCCAGGTGGCGACCTGTGCTAGCCTCTGTGCAGTGTGTCACCCGCTGACGAGCAGGAGTGAACTGGTGGACCCCCACATCCTGTAGGTCAGCACCACTCACCAGGTTCGTAGAGAACGAGGGGAGGTAAAGACCAGTCAGGGTGCCAGAGGGAGCCGCCGGACAAGGGAGGACTGTGGAGAAACGAGACAGGACAGGACCCCCAGAGGGGTCAGCCAGGGACACCGCAACCGGCCGACTAAGCGGCGTGAGAGTGGTGCGGTCCCGAAAGAAGGAGCGAGACGCCCTAGAGTCAAGGGTGAAGGTGTGGGAGGCAGAAGCTGACACAGTACCTGAGAGGGCAGACTCACTAGCACCTGAGAGGACAAACGCACTGGCACCTAGAGCAGCAGCCTCACTGGCACCTGACACACCAGTACCAATGTCCGGGTCCGGCGGAAAGCACCGGTAACAGTCACCATCATCACTAACAGTCAGAGCATACATGGCAGCAAGGATAGCATCAAAGTCAAGAGCAAAGATAGCTACACCAGCCCTAGACAGCTCTCTCCAGCGGGGGATCTCAGAGGCCTCCGGAAACTGCTGGCGCCAAGCGTCGGTCAGGCGGGCAAACCAGCGGCGAGCGGTGTGGGTGCCCCCACACTGCTCACCCGCGCCGTCGCCGGTGCGAAGGACGTAGGTGCAGGGACCGAACGCCCCACCACGCTGACGCTGCGAGTACCACTCACGGAGCTGCAGAGGGGCGGGGACGTCGCGAGAGTGCTGCTGCTGCTGCTGCTGCTGCTGCTGCTGCTGCTGCTGCTGGCGCTGACCACCCCTAGTGCCGCTCCTCTGGGACGAGCCACTCCGACCACCTCCACCACCGCCACCCCCGCCTTCGCCGCCACCGCCGCCACCGCCACCCTCGCCCCGGCCGCTCCCACTGCCTCCTCCGCCACCACCTCCGCCGCCACCTCCGCCTTCACCGCCGCCACCAGTACCTCCACTCCCGCCTCCACCCCCACCGCCACCCCCACTCCCCCCGCCGCCCCCACCTCCTCCGCCACCGCCCCCGCTAGCTCCACCCGCTCCCTTGCCCCCCTTGCTCCTGCCAGAGCGGCGCCTACCGCTGGGGGCAGACGCCGCACCGACCCACTCTAAACCCACGAGGTCGGCCGCAGCAGCAGAGGCGACAGAGGGTAGCAGGGGGGAAGGAGAACACCCCTCA